AATATAATTAATTTAGTTCTATATAAATATATTAATATCTATATAGTTATTTACTTAGATAATATCTTTATATTTTTATTAATACTTAAGAAATATAAAGAAAATATTTATTATATTTTATAAACTTTTTAGGAAACTAAGCTTCTAATTAAACTTAAGAAAAGTAAATTTTATATATAAAAAGTAGAATACTTTAGATTTATTATTATTTTTAGAGAAATCTAAATATTAAAAAATAAAGTTAAAGCTATTAAAGAATAGCTAGTATTTAAGAACTTTAAAAAAATCTAAAGATTTTTAGGATTTATTAATTTCTATTAAAAATTTATAAAAAACTATAATAAAATTAATATAGTTCTTACTAACTTTAGCTATAAGAATATTTTTTTTTATATAGGAAAAGTTATAATAAATAGCTTTTTAGAAAATTAAAAACCTTATTAGTAATAAACTAATTTTAATAATATTAGATCTTATTAAATAATTTAAAGTAAAGCTAAACTTTTTAGATTATATTTTTAGAGTATAACTATTATAATAAGATTTAGAAGAATAACTCTTCTTATATATTTTCTTCTCTTATAAACTTTATAAACTTAAACTTAACTATTTTATTTATAATAAAGAATTTATAATAATTATTAAAGCTTTTAAAAAATAGAGATTAGAACTTTTAAGAATAATTTATAAAGTATTTATATACTTTAACTATAAGAACTTTTAATACTTTATAACCTTAAAAGTATTAAATAAGTAATAAGTATAATAATTAGAATTTCTTTTAAAGTTTAACTTTTAGATTATTTACTATAAAGGATTAAATAATAGTAAAGCTAAAACTCTTAGCTAATAACTAAATTATATTATCTTAATATCTAAAGAAACCTAAGTAATTCTTAAAAGAAATAGTAATAGAGACTTAATACTAATTATTAAATTTTTAATAATAATTAGATAATTTAGTATTAATTTATTTAATAAACTAAATAATAAAGCTATTATAGAGTTTTATACTTACTTTATATATAGTTATTAAGGAATTATAAAAACTTAGAAATAATTATAATAATAATATAGAAAAAAAGTTATTAAAGAATATATAATAAAAATAATTAAAAATTATAAGGTTTATTTTAAAAGTAAGCTTATTTAATATTAACTTTATAGTATATTATAACTTTTACTTATATTATAAACTACTTAGTAGTTTATATTACTTAACTTTATTATTAAGCTATTAAAGTTTTAAGAACCTCTTATAAAAGTATATTATAATAGTATTTTTATTATTATAAACTAACTTATAAAGTATATTTATTTTATCCTTTATAAAAAAGTAAGTAATATTAAAGAATATATATATATATATTTCTTAAATATATTATTACTAACTATAAAATACTTAAAGAAATTATATTAAATAGAGATAAAATCTTTACCTCTAATTTTTAGAAATTAATTATATTATATTTTAGTATTAAATAGTTAATATCTATTATATTCTATTTATAAACTAATAGATAAATAGAATAAATTAACTAAAGTTTTAAAACTTACCTCTATATTTATATTAATTATAACTAAGATAATTAGGTTATATTATTATTAATAGTTTAATTTACTTATAATAATATAGTAAGAAAAAATATTAAAAAATCTCTTTTTTACTTTAATTATAAATTTAAACTTATTATTTATAGAGAACTTTAAATAAGCTTAGCTATAATAAAAACTATTACTTTAATATAATAAATTAAGGATATCTAAGAAAATATATATAAAAAACTTAAATTTATATAATAATAAATAACTAAATTTAGTAATAAATAAATAATTAAGGGATTAACTTTAAAAAAAAGAAATAGTACTTATTTTATATAGTAAAATATTAAAATAAAATAACTAAATAATAAACTTAACTATAGAAAACTTAGACTTTTTAGAGTTTTATAAGTAATTTTACTAGTTAATTATAAACTTAAACTTCTAAAAACTATAAAATACTACTTAATATTTTATATATTACTCTTTAAATTAGCTTTATAAGGATTATAAATAAGTAATATTATTATTATAGAGAATAATAAACTAAAATATAAAATTAAATATATTATTAACTACTTAAAAGAACCTAAAAGATATTAATACCTTATTAAGTAGAAAGGATATAGTTATAAAGATAATATATAGAAATCTACTTAAAATATTACTAATATAATAAATAAACTCTTACTCTATTAGTAATAATATTAAGAATAAAAAGTTATATTAGTACTAATTATACTAATTAGTTAGAAAGTTATTAAAAACTATTAATAGATTAAATATCTATATAGATATATTAAACTACTAATAGAAGTAGATTAACTATAATAAGGAAAACCTTTTATTTAATTAAAAATACTAAAGTATAACTAAAACTTCTTTAATAAGAAATTTAGAGTATTAGGATTTTAGTTAAAAATTAAATCTAGATCTACTATATTAAAACTACTTATAGATTAAACCTCTAAAATAAGAGATATTACTAGCTCTTTTTTAATAACTTCCTAACTTTTCTAAAATATTATTCTCTTCTACTTATATAAATAATCTAATTACGCTATAGATTTATCTAACTTAGCTTATATAGTATATAAAGTAGTAGTTTTCTTTCTTAATACCTCCTCTTTAGCTACTTTAATATCCTCTAAATAAGCTACTTTATTTAGTAAATAATTAACTAAAAATAAATTAGTACTACTTTTAAAATATAAGAAATATAAAGATATATAGGTATAAATAGTATTTATTACTATATTATAAAACTACTTTAAATAAATATACTTATTATAAACTTCTCTACTAAGAAGTAGTTTATAATACTTTCCTATAGAGTAATAATAAAAATAAAGTATATTAATAATAAAACTAAGTTTAGTAATATATAGTATATAATTATAATAATAAAGAGTAGAGGTAAAATTTAATTTTAATTTTTAAATATAACTTAATATAATATTAATATTATAAGTAAAATTACGAAATATAATTAATAGATCTCTAACTTAAAACTAATAACTTATTTATATTAAGTCTTAAGAATAAATCTTTTAGAGAAAGGACTTAATATTATAACTTATAAATAAGGATAATAGCTAAATAACTTACTTAGGTATTAAGTAGCTAAAATAAAATATTTATACTAAAAGATTATAAGAATTATAAAGATTTACTTAGTATAAAAGAATTATAGTATAAGTTATATAATAGTAAAATAAAGAAATAATTAATAAAGTATAAAATAGAATACTTAGTAATTAGTTAGCTTTACTAACTAATTATAATTACTTTATATATCTAAGTAATTACTTATAAGTAGATAAAAGATATTATTTAGAATTTATATATAGGATAACCTAAGTTTAGTTTAAAGTTATACTTCTTTAGCTTTTTAGTAATTAATTTAGTATTTATTTTTATAAATACTTTTAGCTTACTTTTACTATAAATTACTTATTAAGTTTAAGACTAATTATCTTAATTTTTAAAGATTAATCTATTACTAGCTTATAACTTATAACTTAGACTATAACTTAGTATACTATTATTATATATTAATCTCTAGCTTCTATTAGTAGACCTTACTATTAGATAGCTAATTATAATAATATTCTAACTTAGATGTTGCTAATATATTAAACTAACCCTCTATATAAGGGCGCTATTTTACTAAAGGGAAACTATCATAATAAGAGAAAGTTATATTCTTAGTATTACTATAGGGCTACTTTATGCTATCTTTAGAATACTTAAACCTATCTTTCTTCCTTTTTAAGTTTTCTTCTTTATAGTTTATTACTTAGAAGCGCACTTTATTAACTACTATATAACTCTAATAAAGGAATATAGAGGGTTATAGTATAACTTCTATAGCTAACTTATAAAGTATATAAAAAGGATTTTTAAACTACTTAACTAAATAGAAATAACTTTTTATTATATTATAACTTAAATTTAAAATTTTCTAGAATAAATTTTATATATACTTCTTATTTAATTAATATAACTTTCACTATTAATAATATTTAATATTTAAAAAAAAACTAATTTACTATATATTTAATAATAGTTTAGTTATATTTTTATAGTTAAGAATAATAATATAATATCTCTATATTTCTTTATAATATATATTAAGTTCTTAGAAAACTTTTAGAACTAAACGTTTTATTAAATTAAATAAAGATTTAAAAAATTATAAAAAACCTAAAAAATAAAAATAATATAAAAGAGATTAATAAGATATTTAATAAGAAATATAGTAAATAGTTTTAAGAATTAATTATTATTATTACTTTTATTTAAAAATATAGTAGTTAAAGAGACTAACTTAAGTTAAAGTAGAGGAAAAAAAGGTCTTTATATTCCCTTTAGTTATATAAAAATTCACAAAAGAATTCTTTATAAAATAATACTTAAACCTATCAATAGTATCTGTATAGGATTAGCAGCTAGAAAGTTATACATGGTCCACCGAAGCCTGTTTGGTTCGGTGCCCCTCAACGCCAATCGGGGAGCTTTCTGCGTTAGTTCGCTTGGCTCAAACCCTTCTTTCCTTCTCCCAGAGGCTCTTCGTCAACTCTCCTGCCCGAAGTGCGAAGGCCAGCGATGTGAGCTTCATCACCACATCAAAGAATGGATCGGCTCGGGTCTAGAATACTGTGCCGTTTCGCAGATTTTCCGCCCAAAAGCGCCTCGCAATGCTGTTCGTTGGTGTTTTAGAAATATGCCTAAACGAACAAAGATATGTGGGCGGCATGACGGGAAGAAGGGAGTGGAAGGGTGAGGCGCTTGATGTCGCTGGGCGTGAACAGCAATGGACAGACATGTAGTGTCAGAAAGCTGACCGGCAAAGACATTCGCGATGTTATTTGTCATTATTTCCATTGATTATATACAGTTTGTATATCAGGGAAATAATACAACCATCAGACACCAACCAAGAACAGAAATACAAATCATCTTGCTGCTCCGGGCGGCAAGTTTCCACCTCCAAGCTCAATGAGTGGGGCCGTCGTAGGGAGCTCGGAAGGTTGTCTTGAGTATCCAGGTGGCATCCTCTGCGAATACAATTCCTTTCTCTCGCCACTGTTCAGCTCGACCATGTTGACCATGTTGCTGGCACCGCTAGACTTGGCAGCCTTCCTCCTCCTGAGCCAGATGAACCAGGTCAGCCCTAGAACCATTACCGCAGCAACGCTTCCGCTAACGGCGCCCCCAATTATCCCAGCATTGCTTGAAGCATTAGCACTATCCGCGGCAGATGTGGACGCAGAGGGACTCTGAGTTGGTGTCGTGGTTGCCGATGTTGTGGATTCCGAGGTTGTTGTTGCCGATGTTGTCGTTCCCGATGTTTTCGCAACAACTTGTCCGTTCACAATACGCATTCCCAGCCCAGCTTCGCAGCATGATCGCGCCTGTTCATAGTAGCCACAACAGTACGTCTGCTCATCCCCTTCCCCGTCATTGCAGCCTGTCACTGCCTGATCCATTTCGTTCATCGGAAGTTGATCAATGCCTATCACAAGAACAACGGGTTACTAATGCTCAGTATTCCAAAATACGACCCTTTCAAAGTCCCGCCTTCGAAAGGGTTCCGCGAGGCTCAGGGAAACAATGTTACCTACCAGTTTCGTTTGGGGAGATGCAAAGCTTCAAACATCCCGGGGATTCCCAGGTCTGATCCGTACAGCTCCCCCGCCAAAGTACATTGCTAGAAGGCTCCCAACAAAGGCCAGAGCGTTGGCATCTGTCCTTGTTGTGTGTGTTGCAGCACATGCTAACACCATCCTTTTCGCATGGATCGTACTCATTGTCGCCAATGTTGCTGAGGCTATGGCGATCGATGCCATTGGGAACGTAGCATGCGCCCTTGGCATTTGTAACTGTTGCAAAGAAAGCGACGAGGACGATGGTCGGAAACATTATGACAGGAATGATAAAGATAGACTCCAAAGTGCACTTGAAAGATTTCGAAGCAGCCAATAGTTTGGAATGGGTAAGAGGGAATAACCGCAGGCATTCAGTCTTACCCTAAGGTAGTTGAGGGGTGAAGGAAAGTTAGAAACTCGCGGGTCAGCCATCTGCTTGCGTGGACTGGTTGTACAAATACAAGCCTAAGGCCCCACAATAGGCAGTAATCGAGGTGATATGCCTCTCCTTTCGCAAACAGAAATATCGCCAAGTCCTGCAGGTCAGAATGGTGATGCCGATCTGGGATTTCTTGGCAGTCAGAGAAGGAGAGAAAACTTACCACTCTCGATAAATGAAGGACCAGAACGGGGATATGATAGGATGGAAGTTGGTCGTTGGAGCCTGCCTCGCACCCACAGACAGAAATCAGGCGACGAATCGGGGCGCTTGTCTACACAAGGCTCGCAGCCTGATCTCGGATTTTGGTTCTAAATCAAGCTTAATTGCAGTGGCTGAGGCAGACCCTGGTTATATGCTACTTTCTGTGTCCCGCTTCTTTCCAGGCTGCCTGCTTGCCTGTGTTACAGTGCATGGTTGATTGATGAAGCCTGATTTTCGGCTGGGATTATACTAATCGCACCAAACTTCGACCGTTGATAAAAGCTTCGCATGGCAACTGCGTAATTTTGTCTCTACCCCACAAAATTCCACGTTTCACCTCCTTTCCCCAGCCCCTTGCCATCCCGATTCGTCGAAAGGTCCCTGAGTCTCGATCCTGTAACTCGAGTAGCAAAACGTACAGGCTACCCTCATCACCTTTTCTTTCTCTTGCTGGCATACAGAATAAGGTTGACGTCGAGTTTTGCTGATCGAAATCTGAATGATAAGTGTCCAGCATTACGTGAGGCTGGGGTTCTCGGGCAGTAGAATCGGACAGAATGCTGACATTTGTGCCGTTGACGACCATTTCCCAGTCCGCCGTGGTGCATGTAGGCGAAGATCGATAAGGTATTAGTTTCAACGTCTTCAAGTCGCCCCATATTCTCAGCCAGCCGCCCCTTATGAAGCCTGTTGTATCTGGTGTAGCATATTCGAGGTCGTAGTCTTCGACCGCAATCATCACATCTGTCTCCGGTACGTCTGGAAGTCCGGGATTAACCTTGCCGGATGTCGATGCCCAAGACCAGCTCGGCGCTGTGTATGTAACTGGTGTCCGATCGCAAGTATCCACGAAATCTGCTTGAGCCCGGTCCTCGATGTCGAATCGGTGTGTTGATACAGACACCGACCAAATCAGCTCCCGATCTAGGTACTTGCGCCACATGCCGGCAACATACTCGTCTCGTAGGGTTTTCATGACCTTCTTCGCGATTGAGGAAAGAGCAACTAGCTTGTCTTGCTGGAACGTGAGTTTGCAGGATGTGTATGCCTTCACTATCTCAGCCCAATAGAGGTAGACGTTGAGACCGTTGCTGGAGGTGGATTGGTTGCGGATCCCGAATCCTCTGAGACTAGTCGAGGACGGTCGAAGGTCAACAGGCAAGTCGTCGGGATAAATCTCCGCAGCCTCTGTGCAAAGACACTCTCACATTACTTGGCGTTCCCCAAAGTGCAATATTCGAGGCGACAGGAGCCTTTCCTGTAACACCCATGCCCTTTCATTGATTGGAGCCCGAGATACTTCGTTATCCCAGAAGCTGTAGTCTACCACAAGGTGTCGGACAAGTTTTCCTTCAAGGGGCAAGTCGACCATCTGAGGTGTCAAGCTTCTTAGGTTTCGATTATGGAACATGGAGCTGTGACCATTTGGGGCGTGTGTTGCTGATATGTTGCAGTATGACTTTCCATAAACTTCCCCCATCCGCGTTGATTCCAATTTCCAATCAGCAAGTCCATCACCTTCCTGAACAATGCATAACGAGTCGATCCAAAGGTATTGAACCCCCAACTGCCGAGTGACCCAAACTGCGTCTTGATACAACACTGGCAAGTCTCCTAGTGGGAATCCTCTGGTCAAAGACTCGTAGTTTCCCGCAGTCAGACGCAAACAGTCTACAGATCCCCAGCAATGGCTCAAAGTCATGTACGGACCGTGAAGTTTTGAAATGCTGGTATCGATGATCCGGCATTGCACGCTGGAGTTGTTTGGAGAACCGCAGTCGAGAAGGCGAGTTGGATACCACTGGTCGTCTGTTGGACTTATCTGGGAGCACAGTTCGTGGCTTTCTATGCATTTATTGATCCATCCTTTAGCAGTGGCAATAGTCTCGGAGGATTTCGTGTTCTCAGAGTGGAAATTTGCAGAAGAATATTTTGGGGTATCTAATTGGTCATTAGCGACGCTTTCGTAAACATTACTTCCATGACAGTAGCATACCATGACATGGCTTCAGCAACAACGCCAGACGCCAGTACGGTCTTGGCTTCGATAGGGATAGTGTGCTGACAGGTCCCGCATCAAATGCAACCTGCCACAGGAAGCTTGTGGGATGACCGAATTGCGCTCCATCGGAGATTGAAACAAATGTGAGGTGACTCATGGTATCACTTGTCTCGACCTTTCTGAAGGGTATATTTGTTGCAACGACGTTTTCAGGTTGGCCATCGGAACCCGCCGCTACCAGCTGTCTTTCCTCGGAGTCTAGCATCGCCCATAGGCGACTGCAAGCATAACAACCGGCATCGACGGACCTCTTGAGGCTTCTACAGCTCAGGTGGTGAGGCTTTCCTTGCGCTTCCGAAATGGGATAGGTGTAAAAGTCTGACTTCGAAAGACAATCTTGACAGGTCGGACAAATGAGACTCATTGTGTCGATGGATGAAGTCTTTCACTGCAGAAAGCCAGACTGAGAAATAGCGATGTGGCGTAAGGAGCGACGAATGGCAATGACATATGAGAAATGAGGGGTTCACATTCACCAATTGGTATGATTATCAGACTTCTATTGGCTGGGAATTACCGAGGATGCTGCAGGTCGATATATGTTGGCCCCTATCACGTTGGCGAATAAAGCGCATCGTTGGCACAGGGTGACTTTATTTCCCTTGGTCCCTGATAATGATTTCTATTGGTGGTTGAGTCAGGTTGTTGAGTCCCAAATTGCCTGAAAGAACACACGAAACCTGTGGGGAAAATATTGGAAGGGAAGAAAGATTTACAGACGCTCTGGATTTGACATTCGGCATACTAGGATGTAAGAACTCAGCAACTGCTTTCTTGTCTGCTTTACAATTTATTCCCCATATTCACATGGACCGCCTTGATTTGAGAATAGGCCTCCAGGCCAGCCTCACCAAGCTCCCGCCCAATACCACTCTGCTTCACGCCTCCAAAGGGCACCCTGGGATCACAATCCTGGCTGCTGTTCACCCAAACCATACCGGATTCGATCTCAGAGGCTACTCTGTGGGCCTTCTCAAGATTTGTTGTAAACACCGCGGCTCCGAGGCCATAGACGCTGTCATTAGCAGTAGCAATCGCCTCTGCCTCCTCGGCAAACTTCTGGATCACCACCACAGGGCCGAAGATCTCCTCCTTCCAGATCCGCATATCACTCTTAACGTCTGTGAAGACAGTTGGGGCAACATAGTAGCCCTTAGAAAGATGCGCTGGCCTTTCTCCTCCAGTCTTGATCGTCGCGCCCTCCTCTTGGCCAATCTTGATGTATGAAAGGATGCGCTCGTGCTGCTGCTTCGAAACTTGAGGGCCCTGGTACGTTGTCTCATCCCATTGGTGGCCGACCTTGCTGGTCTTCACGACCTCCTCAACGAACCTTGCAACAAACGTATCATAGACGTCTTGCTGCACTAGGATCCTGGAGGTAGCAGTGCAAATTTGGCCCTGGTTAGACATGATTCCCAGATGGGACCACTTCACAGCTTGCTCCATATCGGCATCGTTGAAAACCAACAACGGCGACTTTCCGCCCGTTTCCAATGTGATGTTTTTCAGCGTCGCTGCAGCCATCTTCATGATGTTGGTCGCTGTTCCTGTTGATCCGGTGAAGGCGACCTTATCGACTAGGGGATGCTGGACGAGGGCGGCGCCGGCGTCCTTACCGAGACCATTAACAAAATTCACCACACCCGGGGGAAACCCGGCTTCTTTGATGAGACGGCCGAGGATGAGGATACTCAGAGGCGTTTGTTCAGCTGCCTTGAGAACGACGGTGTTACCGCATGCCAGCGCGGGGCCCAACTTCCATCTAAGAGTTGTTAGCTTCGGACGCGGTACCGCATGCGAGTTTGACTCACGTCGCCATGGAGAGCGGGTAGTTCCACGGGATGATCTGGCCGACGACTCCAACCGGTTGTCGGACGGTGTACGCAAACTTGTTCGGAACGCTGATGGTCTGACCGAATATCTTGTCGCACCAACCGCTGTAGTAACGGATCACTCCAACTGCTTCAACGAGGTCGTTGGTCAGAGCCTCGGTGTATGTCTTGCCTGTGATGTGATTTGGTTAGAAGATGATGACCAAGACTTCCGTATCGGCGCCAATTTTCAACTCACCATTGTCCCATGCGTCGACTGTCGCGAAAAGCTCCTTGTTTTCTTCGACTAGATCGGCCAGTCGGGCCATGAGAATTCCCCTGTCTGAGGCGGGCAACTCTTTCCATGACGGATTCTTGAGGGCTGCCGCTGCAGCTTTGACGGCCTTATCGACATCATCAGCAGAGGCGGCGTGGACGGATGCGATAACCTCTTCTGTTCTGAAGCAGTGTGTCAGGTTGTTTCCTTCCCGAAGATTGGTGGTTGCACTCACGCGGGGTCAATAGCGTCAATCTTTTGGCCGTTCGAAGATGGCACGAATTCGTTGTTGATAAAAAGGCCGGTTGGTTGGGTCCACTTGCGGCCGTTGGGAGCCGTGAGCTCGACAGAGAGATCTCCCATTTTTGCAGCTGCTGGAAAAGGAGAGGATTGGCTGTGTTCCGTGTTGTCGGCGGGTTCGCTCTTCGGTATCAATATTTCAAGGCAAGTCAAGAGAAAAAGAAGTGGTGGAGGTGAACAGCCTGTGAAACCAATTGTGAAATATTCAAGACAAGTTCTGCATTCCAGATATGATGTGGTCAGATCCAAGCTACGATTTATCTTATCGACGACCGAACTCGGCCTCAGCAGAAGTCCTTTACTCCGACTTGTGACGCACTTTCACCTCAGCATCGGCGTGGCCTGCCGGGGTGTTGAGAGGAGCATACAACACACTGCCCCTCCCCCGCAGTGGAGAGCTCAACTCATCTCATTTTAGATTCCAGTGAGAATACGTGTGCATGAATGGTCCCTGGAATGCAAGATTCACCTTCCATATCTGTACTGCACATGGCTCTCCGATTTTATTCCTCATCCGAATCTGTAAACATGTCTCGGATACCAAGCTCGTCGCGGACACCTTCCTGATAGATGCCTCCATGGTGGTGAGGGGCACCAAGCAGCTCAAGTTGAAATGAGGGGCATTAACCCCACCATCATTGACGATAAGGGGTGTGATAGCTGGCGTGGTCCCTGAATTACCCCTCCATTTGCGGACAGGGTAGCTCCAGGTCATGAGAAATCAGAGACTGTAGTCCAGCTGAATGGTGATGGTGTCAGATTTGATTATTTGCGCCGCTTGAGTGGATTGTGTGTAATGTGACAATGACTTCAGTTTTATCTATTTACAAGCTTTAGATTTGTGCCGTAAATGATATTGTTCAGAGGTTGCTTTGCTGTACCTCGGCCTCGCGCTCCACCGCCTTCGGAATTTCGTCTAGCAGACTCTCACCCGCAGGCGCCCAGCCGAGCAACTCCTTGCCCCTGACCGCCTCGCTACGCGCATTGGTTCCAAAGAGTACAGCTCCGTGAGGGAGCAGAGTGTTTGCGTCTTCGGGGCTGAGGACCTCGACATCGTCTGAGGGGATGAGTCCCTTCTTCGCGGCGGCTGTAGCGACAAGCTTCGAGATCTCGCCAAATGACTGGACACAAGCACAATTAGTAACGGCACGAGTAGCAACAGAACGACAGAACTTGCGATCTCGCCCAAGCCAGTGAGATACAGACCGTTCTCATTCCAAACCTGCGCATCGGCCTTGCCCTCAACAGCCTTCTCGACCAACTTGACAAAAAGCTGGCTGACATCCTCAACGTGCACATTGCCCCAGCGGCTCAGGCCCTTGCCGACCTGAATGCCTCGCTTGCGCTCCAGTGTTGTCTTGGCCAGCGCAGGGACTTGGACGCTGCGCTTGTTGCCAGGACCGAGGCCTTGGCCGTAAATGATAGGCGGGAAGACCAGCGCAGTGTTGATCTTCGATTCTTCGGCCGCGACCTTGAGAATGTAGTTGTCGACGGCGCGGCTCGGGTGGCGCTGGATGATGGAGCGAATGTCGGCGATGCCAGTAAGATCGTTGAAGACCAGATCGCTGCCGTCGCCGGGGGCGCGGCTCTTGTCTGCCAGCTCGGCCGCGGCGAGAGCGCTGGCACCAGAAACTTGGACCCAGTGTGCTACAAGGATACCAAAATCAGCATGAGTTCAATTGAGTCCATTCAGTGGCGACGAGAATAAGGACACTGGAAGCTTGCTCACATGGCTTCTGGCTAGAGGCGAGGGCCTTGTGAATAGTTTCGACGCTCTTCAGGTGGCCAGTTGAGGCAAGGTCTGGGGAGTCATCGTTAGCAAGCCGAACAAGGCATTAGACGCATCGCCTGCTAAAACTCACGGAGAATAACATCGGCGTTGGAGGCTTCGCGAGCCAAAATATCGGCGCTGTCCAAGTCTCCCTCGACAACCTCTACGTCCTCAAATGTGCCGGTAATAATCTTGCCCTTTGCGCTGTCGCGCACCAGTGCTCTGATGGCATATTCAGGGTGCGACTTGATCAACAGCGACAGGACAGTGCCGCCAATGTAGCCTGTGGCTCCGGTCCTGGTCCTCTGGTTAGCGTTTACTCGCACTTACATGGGGGGCTTTGAGTCAGTCTGTCGGTGATTCCTGGAGGGCTGCTTACAGGAAGATCTTTGCCATTGCGTCGTTTTCGTAGCAGACGGGTTCAAAAACTTGAGTAGCTAACAGCAATTGAGGGTGAAGGCGCATGAGGAGAGTTTGAGTTATGTACCTTGCTTCAAGCTCTGTGTCCTGGCATGTGCAATTGGATATATATGGCGTCGACGAGCACCTCGGGCTCGCCTTCCAAACATGGGGTAGTACAGGGGGTCCAGATTACCAATGCAGTAGCTGTCTACGCGCCCTGTAGAATTACACAATCCACTACTTCATTGCGTCACGGCCAACATCGTTGTTTTCACACCAATTGTTCACGATGATTCTGTTCGGCTGGTCCACTTCAACATCTTCTAAGGTGGTTTTGTCATTCGAGAACTATCCATCATGGCTTTGATTATTTCAGCGCCAAGTTTTCACCAAAATTTTCGATCTGATAGTCCCATTCCCACGGCCTACTGAGCCTACGATAGCCGCTTGAACACGCTCTCCAACACTTCCAGGAAAATATCGGCTGTTTTCGAAGTTAGCATGGTTCTGTCCAACTCAGTGATGGCAGTCTATCTTACCGTGATTCTTCTGGAACACCAGCATTGGCCTTAGGCGAATGGCGGCGTCACCGCTGCCACCCATGTTAACACCTTGTGCTTTGGCGAGCGCCAGCACCTCTTCTCTCCTGGGGGCATCCCAAGCGATGAAGGTGCCACGGTCTTTACCACGGAGGTTCTGGACGTGTTGCGGGTATTTGCTGGCCAGCTTCTCCAACTCGCCAAACAGATATCCTCCGACCTTTGCAGTATGCTCAACGAGGCCATTCTTCTGGATTTCTCCGTAGATAGCCTTGAACAACAGCGCTCGGACAGGGTCGCCCATCCAAGTGTTGAATTGGCGGTAAGGCTTGTCTGGCCTCAACCCAGCATCACCGAAGTAGAAGCCTGCTGCCTGTGCCTTCTTGGAGAAAGTTACCATATCTGGCGGCGAAGACAAGTTCCAGTGCTCATGAGCCCAGAATTTTCCAGTCGCTCCGACGCCAGTCTGCACCTCATCAACAATCAGCAAGACGCCCTTACGCTTCGTAAGCTCTCTGAGACCCTGGAAGAAAGCTGGCGAGGCATGGTTGTCGCCGCCCTCTGATTGAACAGGCTCAACAACGACTGCCGCAACTGTCTGCTTGGCCTCCTCCAACAAACGGTCTGTCTCTTCGAGGCATCTCTTCTCTTCAGCTGCGTTCTCTGCAGCGAATTGATGCAAAGGATACTTCAACTGAGGGAATGGTGCAACGGGCCAATCGAATGCTGGCACGTCGAGCTTGTGGATAGGCTTGCTTCGCGTCGTCGACAAGCTGCCAAACAGGCGACCGTGAAAGCCCTTGTGGAACGACATGATGGAGTACTTCTTGGCGCCAGGTGCTTGGTTTACCATGACGGACTCCAGCTCAGCAGCACTGAAGTCGGCCCCACCACGCTCTTGTGTTCCCTTCCAGATGCAGGCTGCTTTGTACGCTGTCTCGTTCGCATCGGAGCCGGTTGTGGCAGTAAAGACCTGGTTGAGGCCTTTGGGGGCGGCTTTCAGGATGCCGGTCTCCAATAATTCCGCATAGTCTGTCGAAGGAAAGCTTCCAAGTGCCGGTCTGCTGGCGATTGCTCGGATCATTGCGGGGCTCGTCGACGCCTTGTTGAGTTCTGGGTTGTTGTAGCCGAGAGGAATTTAAGCGATCTGTGCGAAACTGCAAAACGATTCTGGTCAGAGCAAGGCCGTCGGTAGGCAAAGTAGGCAGACTTACACGTCCAAAAATCGGTTGCCATCGGCATCCACCAGACTTCAATTGGTTCGACTTAGCAAGATGTCATCTAAGACGTACATGGGGTTGGCTCACTAGTTTCCAATGGACTTCTCATAGTCGACAAGTGTATTTGCGCTGCGAGTGTCAAAGACTTTCTCCAGCTTCGCAAGTCCTTCCTTCACCTTAGGCCCAGGCACCGAGGAAGTGACAACTCTAGGCTCAGAGGGCTCGCCTTGGAAGGCAGCGGGAGTTTGGTTGCATGACACGGCAGATAACCTGCGAACACTGCTTCTCTGCTGAGGGCAACGCCGAGTGGCAGCTGCTAGGGTAAGCGGGCGGGAATGTCGGAAACTGGCCATCATGACTCTGCCGTTCAAATGCTGGTATTCGAATATTAGAAACAACTCAGCAAATCAGGAGCTCCTCCGGACCTGATCTCTGGGTTCAAGAAAGCTTTTGAGCCACCTGTGGACTTACACGAGCTGTCCCGGAACTCAGCTCGTCGCGCAAGCATGCCCACCAAATGGTGGGTCTTCTCGGCACTTTCTTCTTCTCATTCTGGGCTGTGAAAGAAGGGCCATAACTTCAACGGTATTCCCGATCAGCCACGAAGCATTCCCATGACTAAAATCCTGGGGAAATCGATGTTCGGGTCGCTGTTCCGGCATCATCCTGGACCGAGAAAGTCCGGTCCGGCCCCATGAAGTGGCTTCCCCACATCCGCTAGCGCCGATAAGTACGTCGCGGAAACCTTCCTCGTTTTGAAAAGCAAGGGAAAAGGAGCCAAATCTGGTATCTTGACTCTTCTCACTTCACACAACTGCCCCGTGATCGCTGCAACACGCTCTTGGCTTGTCTCCAGAAAGCGACTCCGCCAATATCGAAACCCCGCGATACGACGACATCTTGACTCCGCCATTTTCCCCGCTGACTTTCCTTTAAGTGACGACAAGAAGCCTTGGAATCAGGCCAGTCGGGAATACAAGCCTGAAATGCTCCTCGCCTCTACCTCCTGAGAACAGCCAGCACGCAATACGACTATCTACCGTTTCTGTCTCTCGCTTTGCCCTGCCTTACCTCATCGACAATGCCTGCCACGACCAGAAGCAGAGGGCCCAGTAATTCCGGGGCGGCCACCCGGAAGAACCAGCAGAGCCAGAAGCCTTCTCGGGGAAAGCCACAGTCAACAACCGCAAGCAATAACGCAAAGAGGGTCCCGCGGTCGAGGACGTTTACTGGTTGCCGTACCTGCAGAAGCCGACACCTCAAGTGTGACGAGGCCCGCCCGATATGTTCCTCCTGCCGCCGTCTGAATCTCGTATGCGAAGGCTACGACGGCCAGCTCCTGTGGGTTCCGGATCCGCTGTGCTCGGCCTCGGGCGACCAGAAGCATGCCTCCTCCTCGCATCGTGGCACGTCGTACCGATACCCGCTCTTCACCGAGGATGAACGCAACTCCATGGCCGCCGAGATTGTCGAGAGCATGGGCGATCGCTCAGCTGGCGACATTGTTCTCGACCTCGATGAGAAGAGCGTTCACGGCGTGGACGAGGTGTGCTTAGACGGTCCTTTTGGTGTTTTCAGAGCGTTCGAAGGCGATTCCATCACGAATTCGGACACGTCCTCTTCCCCTCTACTGCAACAGTCGGAGAGCTCTCCGACTTCATCACCAGCAGAAGCCTTGCCCGATCTCGTCGGCGGTGAACTGCTAGACGATGACGTTGAAGAAGTGGTGATTGAGCCATGGTCCGTTCACGACGACCACATCGCGATAGAACCGTCGTTTCTGCCTGGGCATTTTGACGCTTTTGGTACAGACACCATGATGAACCTCGGCCAACCATGGATGCATGGTGAAGGCACAGGAAGCCTCAGTCATATGATGTCGATGGACGGTTCTTTTTCGGCACTGGACTTGCTCTTCTCTCCCACCTCACCGCGGACTCCTGCTATGGCCCATATAGACCAAGCCCAGAATCATCACACACACCATCAACAAGAACCGAACCAACTTCAACTGCCAGATCAGCAGCAGCAAGACACTGACCACGTGCAAGAGGATACCAACAACGCTACCAGCCCGCCATCGGACATGAACCTACCAATACCGCGCAAGGTTTCCACGCCGTTCACTAACAACCTACCCGGCGTTACGCCATGCCTACCAACACATGCCGCCTCCCTCTTACGATACTACAAGTCCATCGACTCATCATCATCTGTCAAGGGCATGAGAATATCACCGTGGCAACTTTGGCTTCTGCCTTGCGCATTAGAAACTTTTGCTGAGCTTTCTCTTTGGAACACTACGACCCATACCCGGCATAGCATTCTCTGTACATTACTGGCTAGGAGCGCTTTTCACTTGCACAGGTCGCTCAAGACGGATGAGAAAGCAGCATCAGAGTGGCTGGAGGTCGGTCTGGACTACCAGAAGAGCGCACAATCGCATCTGAAGATGGCACTACAAAGCGAGTCGGACGAGACCAGTCAGGCCAAGTACAATGAGATTCTTATGGCTATCCTTGCCACGGCCATGGTTTCGGTCAGTATAGCATCCGCCCCCGCCGTAATTGGCTTCTTGTCCTAACAATTGCATAGGTACTCTACAATGGCTCTCGCGCGGTCAAAATCTTCCTCCTCGACGCCGAACGACTCATCCGTCTCCGGGGCCTTTCGATGCCCAGGTCCTTCAACATTCGTGTCCTCCACCACGTCTACACACACCTGCGTGTAATCGCAGAAAGTACCGATATATCTGGCGACAACGCTCCGAAGACAGGCCAAGCCCTATCAGCACAGGCTCAGGCGCAAGCAGCAACCGAGATGGCCGTCTCGCTCCGCAAGTTCCGTATTGCAGAAGACTCTCTCGGTGCCGACCTTGACATCTCTCGCGAGAAGCCTGCCGAGGTCGGGTACGCGGACATTCACCTCGACATTTCGGGCCACTGGCCTGTCACGATGTATCCTGATATCTATGGCGTACCCGAGTCCCTGATGACGCTACTGTCTCAGACCATCAGCTTCGCCAATGAGAAGGCCAAATTGGAGGCCATCGCACTATACGACCCCCGTGTCTCGGCAGGCTTGTCGAGGCATGTCAAGATGCTGGAGCAACACATCTGGTCGTGGTCTCTTGATTCTTCCGATAATCAAAGCGGTCCCAGCAGACCTCGGGAACTCATGAGCAGGGACGCCAGGCTCATCGATCACCCCATCATCAAGTCCTTGACACTAGCGATGCATCAGGCGTTGATAATCTACTTCTACCGCAGGGTGTACAACATGAGCGCCATGGTCATCCAAGATGCCGTGCGCAAGACTCTGGATTATATACAGCCCTGTCTAGAGGAGACGGCGGACGACCATGACTTCGCTACCAGCATTGGGTGGGCTGGGTTCATTGCCGCCTGCGAAGCTACGACGCCCGATCTTCAGGAACGAGGAAAGCTGATTCTGGAGTCTATTGATACCCAAGGCGTTATTTTCGGGGCGGATAAGCCGAGCGTGTTGGCTCAAAGCGTATGGGATAAAAGGAAAGAGACAGGGGATTGGACTTTGAGTTGGCCAGATTTGATGCAAAGCAGCATGACTAGATGATACAGCATGGGTTTGATGGTGCACAATTTGCTTACAGAAAAGATTTCCCTCAACTGGTGGCTTCATGCCACCCTCCATAGGTCAGAGTGCTGATGGAGAATGGGTGACCATCACCCCATGAAATAACTGCACTCGCACCGGTGAGGAATTTTGCTGCAACAAACTATGCAATTGCAGTGAACCTTTGCATCATGTTCATTGGTTCCGCGGCATCGCGCTGATATTATTGACTGGAGCCGGTTCTGTTTCGGCTTCCGCGGAGGACCGGAGCGGAACGGGCGGATTGATGCACTCGCCGAAGCTCCGGTTTCTCATCCTTGGCCGGTCCGTCTCCGGCTCTCCTTAAATGTGAAAGGCTGCTCGTTTATCCCATCAGGAAACAGCTCCGTGAACAGCTTCTCGTGCTTGGCATTCTTCATCATCTCGTCACCATATCCGAAATGGCATCCGACTCCCATTATTCGCCGGCGCAGCTACTTGAGCACGCCCAAACTGATGTACGACTCCCCGTAGCAGAGCCGCTTCTCTCGGCCATTCTATCTCGCCCCCCTTTCATAAATGTCGCCGGTACATTCAATACCAGGGACGTTGGATTGGTTCCGGGCAGTCCTATTCGGCAAGGTTACGTGTTTCGCTCTGGGGCTCTCGAGAATCTTGAGGATATCGGCAAACAACAAATTACAGATCAATTCGGCATCAAGAAAATATTCGATTTGAGAACGAGCCGTGAACGGGAAAAATATCCGGAACCAGATGTTCCTGGTGTTAACATAACGTGGATCCCAAATTCATACAGCAACACCGTCGATATCAACGACTTTGTTAGTGGGGGTGGCGAAGAAGGCTACTGCAAGATGTACATGGACATCATGGAAACGTACGCGCCAACCATGAAGACTGTCCTTGAACACGTCAGAGATCGGCCACAGGAACCATTTCTTTTTCACTGCGCGCGTGAGTTGCTGCCCCTAATCTCTTCGCGGTTTCCAGTTGGCACTGACCCATACCTGCTCCAAAGTCGGCCGGGATAGAACTGGCATTCTTGCAGGCTTCCTTCTGTCCCTCGCTGGCGCCAATGCGGAGACGATTGCTCTGGACTACATGATCACCCGAATTGGTTCGGAGCCCGTCCGTAAGCTATTGCTTCAGCGGGCGATAGAAGAGCACAATTGCAACTTTGATGTTCCTGTTTTTCACAATCTTTGCAGTCTCCGATTGTCGACGTGGCAACTATTCACGAGGGAGGTAACAGCTAAATACGGAGGTTTTAAGAAGTACGCCACGGTCAGACTCGGGTTTTCTCGAGAAGAAGTGGAACAAATCGCTGGCTACTTGAGAGCGTCACTTGTGTGACGGGTTTGCTTGGGAGTCTAGACAATCTATCTATCCAAGTCTGCATCTTAAGGCTAGCTGTAAAATCTCAACGCCAGCTTAGTAGGTTTTAAGATTAAGGATTATCGCATTCGGTCATTACTAGGCATGGGTGGCTCCCGCTGCGATACCTGCAAGTGAAACCCGAGATATGCGACCACTTCGGGTGGCTTGCTGGCCAACTACCCACCAAACTAGGCCAGCATTGGCCAGGAAGGATCACGAAGCTTGAAAATATCTGAGCACAGCCCCATCAAAAAATGTTATTCCGGACGATATACCTTCTAGAGTAAATCATCCTGTGGTGTGGCTTTTTGTGTGTGTGTCACCTGGTTGAAGCCTGGCATCGAATTTCAGGCTGTTTAATCCGCCAGTATCACATTTGAAAAGCCCTGGGCTTTTGATCGGTACAATCATCAGATCCGGCTTTTCGACCACATTAGGGCAATTTATGCGCCGGTGCTAGCTGGTAATCTGTAGAGTATGGGGCCTTTTAGCGCCGTAGTTACAAGACGCAACTCTAGAGGCCTAGGATAATGTCAGACATTGATCTATCGGAGATTTCATTGCTAGAGAGACGCAGAAGTCGTACCTTGCGATACTCGCGCTGCTGTTTCACCACTATTCGCTTGAGTGAAACTGAAAATCCACGTCCTGCAGCAGTGCTGCTGCTTCATGCAACCCACTTACAAGCGAGATTCTTTGAGTAAGATGCTAAGCCGCATAGGTTAATGTAATTCAAGATATAAACCTGCTGGATTGTCTTCGCAAAGTGAGAATACATTCTGAGGGCGTGTTTGTGCATTACTTCGCTGTTCACATTCGTTCCATCAGTCTTTACTATTCGGGTCTCGTGACCTTCCGCTCTTTTAGTCTCAATCTCTTGTATCTCACTTCTTCATTCTGCAATATGCTGCAATTCCTTCCATTTCTCGGCCTGTTCGCCAGCGTCGTGGCAGGCCACGGTGTCGTTGACAGCTTCAAGACTGACGGCGTAGAACACCCCGGCTATCAGCTCAGCTACTACTATGACCAGAAGAATGGCAAGGAGCTTCCCGAGCTAGCTGCCTGGTCCGCCGAGAATCTTGACAGTGGCTTTGTTGCGCCCGAGAACTACACGTCTCCCGACATTGTTTGCCAGAAGAATGGTGTCCCCGCCAACTCCACTGTCAAAGTGTCTGCTGGCGGAACCGTTGAGTTTCACTGGACACGGTGGGCTCACTTTGGGCCTATGATGACCTATGTTGCTAGGTGTCCATCTGACGACTGCAGCAATGTTGACAAGACGGCACTCGAATTTGTCAAGATAGACGAGGCTGGCATCAATTTTGATACGCAGGAATGGGCTGCAAGGGCTATGGTCAACAACAACAACACTTGGGTCACAACTGTTCCGAAATCGCTTGCAGCTGGCAGCTACGTCTTCCGCCATGAGACCATCGCTGTTCACGGATCTTTCCGGGAAGGCGGCGCCCAGAACTATCCTCAATGCTTCAACATTGAGGTCACCGGCTCCGGCACAGCAGAGCCCAAAGGCGTTCGAGCGCAAGAGTTGTACACCCCCACTGATCCCGGCATTTCATTCAACCCGTACAAAACACCGATCCAGAACTACACCATTCCTGGGCCCGCGCTGTTTAGAGACGGAGAGGTAGCAACCAACACCAGCACCGCCCCGTCCACGCCATCCGTTCAACCGCTGGTGAGCACTGCAACCAGTCGATCTTTCGCCAACTCAACGGCACATGTGCCCATTCTTTCTGCCACGCCATCAAACTCCGCCGATACTCTCTCCACCAACGCTGCCACAGCCACCCCCACCGCGCGTACCACCGAGATTGCAATCGCGTCTAGCTCGGTCAGCCTTCCTGCCACGCTCAAGACCGGCCCCACAGTCCAGACAACCCAGCCTGTGCCATCTTCAGCCTGTTTGCCCTCCGGATCGGAGTTCGTGACCTCCAAGACAAACGCAGACACAGCTTTGAACGGGGAAAACTCGCTGCCTCAGACTTTTACCCTTGAAACTTTCATCGAGTGGCTCCGTGAGAATTCATCCAAGAATACGCGGCGCCATCCTCGTGAGCTCCTTTAAAGACTGACTCGATAGGAGATATTTTGCTTCTACTTTCGCTTCAAGACTGGCATTTTGTCTTTAGTCGGAACATTTTTGGGCAAACAATGAAGACTATCAGAATCACAGCAATTACGTCCGGACATTAACTACCTTAGCATCTCAATACACGCTTCGATGCTTTCGCAACTCATGAAAGATGAGAGAATAGTGCTTATAGTCGAGCTACATTTCAAATGAAATACATCTGACTTTCATGGAATATTTTCCGGGATGACTGCTATTCATGGGATAAATGAATATTAGCCAATAACGCAAAAGTACACCATTTACCGAGAGAATTGGGAAGAGAACATCGCATTCATAATCCAATGGAAGGAATTTCTTGCTCATGGCATGTCGCAAAACCCAGCGACAGCTGAATTGATAGTTTTTTGTAGACTTTAATCATGAGAGGAGCTTGATGACAGAAAAGAAAAACTTACATATACTATCGCTTTGCTGGCTCATAGATAGGCGATCAGTGTCCCCTCTCGTACTTGGTTCTTGCACGAATAGGCCTGCCATGTACAGCTGCTTTACTTTGACGTCCATAAATTGTTCTTTGCAGTCTTCACCCTGTGTTGCTAGCTTTTATTCAGGGCCCAGATCAAATTAGTTGACCAAAGTCCCAGGCCGTGCTATCCATTGCAGCTAGCGTGGGTTTTGGCCTCACCACTCACATACGAAAGTGAACTAACCAGTCACACAACGATGCAACCTCAGTAAACCCATGCTTGGATACGAGCTTACGTGATGACTCACGTTACATGTCACATAACATTTGAGGCCGCTTCGACCGATGCGACTGGTATTCCTGGGAGCTTGGAGATTAAAGACCTCAGAGCACATACCATCGGTCCTGGGCTCGTTCCATTCGCGAGTTCCATCTTTCCAATTTCTAACCATGGCAGAATCATCAAACGTCCTGGCGCCAGCACTGGCAGCCATGAACCTAGACAACCACAACCCTACAACCCCTACGGCAGTCCAGCGCGCCTTGAGTAACCACCTCATCCTCTCGGAAATATTTGACTACATCAGCATGGACTGGCAAGGCTGCTGGAAAGACCGTCCTGCGGAGGTCTTGTGTGAGAATCATGGCGCGGTTACAGGCTCCATGGAATCCAGAGGCATCGACTGTTGCGATGGGAGCAACGAAAAATGCCAAGACCATGACCCCACAGACGACGAAGACGACGACGAAGAAGACTGGAGTGTTCATCACTACTGCCGCGGCGGGGTTCTCCTGCGATGCATGCTGGTGAACAAGCTGTGGTTCGAATTCGCGACACCATTTCTATGGAAGGAGCCGACGGAGATGGTCTCATATCCGTCATACAAGACCGCCATTGTGGCCTTACTGAGTGCCATCGAGCCCACACGGCGGCAACTGTACGCCAAGCACGTGGAGATAGGCTTCAACGAGGGCCGCGACAATGAGGACCTCACAGAAGTGGGATTTCCACGGCTGAGAGAAATGCAGCTGAGAACGGACTACGAAATTAACTTACCTAAGATTAATGGGCATGGAGTCAAGACCCTGACCGTGGATCCCCGATATGAGCCCTGCTATCCTGAGGTCTACACACTGACTCAGGATCGCATGAGCGAGTTGCTAGACCAAATTGCAGTGAGTGCGCTTCTTTCTCCGCGCTTGTGTTCGATAGTTCAGGTACTAATCTGTGTAGGAGAGATTTCCCAACATCGAGAGCCTTTCCATCTGTGATAGCGCTTTAGCGTATCCGGGAACGATGGAGAAATTCAAAGAACGCATGCCCCATCTGGTGGACTTTGATCTCAGTTTCGTTACCGAGCAAAGCCACTCGTACTGCAAATAGTTAGAAAATATCATCTACGTTTGTCTTTATGCATCGCTCTGTTGCATCCTGTAGCTGCCCCCAGCCTAGAAATATATTTCTCGAAGACGTCTATTTGCCTTGCCCATGGAGTTACCCAACCACTGCTGGGCAAAGAAAACTCAATAAGTCGCATCCCTAAACTGCAACTTCCGGCTTTCGGCCATACACCATGTGACTGAGATTTTATTAGTTTCATGAGAGACAATTTCAATGGCAGACCACAATAAATCATGTTTTTCGAAGGGCGCAGACTCACTAGTTGAAGTAAGGCAACGCATCCCGTTGCTCCAAAGCTTTTCGCATGTTCTCAATGAAGACCAGTAATCTTGGGTAACTCCATCCCAGAATTTCGCTGATCGGCCGGAGCGCCCACCCTTCGAGCCCTTGATCGACGTACCACGCCGCGTAGAAACCGACCTCCTTAAGCATCCGGTCTTTAGCCCACCCTCCAACCGGAATACTCCATCTCTTGTGCACGATATCGACAAATCCTGCCTTCTTCATGCACTCTACCATCATGATAGGATTCCTTCCATCGTCCTGTGCTACACGGAAAGTTTGTCCTGTGATGTCACCGGCTTCCCAGAACAGCGGAGCCCACTGCTTGAAGATGTGACTTGAGTCGTTTTCGATGGCTGGGTTAAGCGACCGGACCTGGCTGTCGGCTTCAAGACTTTCGAACCACCCTCCTGGCTTGAGATGGGTATACGCCTGGTCATAGAACCTTTGCCAGTCGTTGATACCACCGAATAGATTTCGTGCGTGGATGAAATCAAAGTAGTTTTGTCTGAACGTCCACTTAAGCTGGGCATCATGGATCTGAAAAAAGCAGTTCACCGGGACCCATTCCGGCTGGATATTCGATATATCGGTTCCAATCACCTCTGAATTCGGGAACTCTTCTGCCATGTCGCTAAGTGCAGCAATAACCCTCCGATCAGCGGCTGTCCATGACATGACATGATCAAAGTAGTGGTGACACTCACATGGCCCAAACACCTGTTCCTGCACCAACATCAAGAATCTTCTACAAAAATAGGTTTTGGTCAATAATTCTTATACACGTCTGAGGCGAGAGGACTAGAGATGCTTCTTACCAAATGACCATCTTTGATGGGGGCGCCGAAGAGCTGATTTTTCATCAAAATGAGCAGATAGTGATGTCTTTTCAGCGTGTATTAGTAACTGAGCAGCATTCTATTAGGATGTTTGGAGTGGATCATACGTGATATCGAATCCTTCGATGTGAGCTTCGTCGTTAGGAGCCCTGGCATGGTGCATGCGAATTAGATGCACCACAGAAATGTTACAGGTCAGCCACTACCTACCAGTAGTCAATTGTCTCAGAGATCTGATACGTTCGGCCGTGAATAGTCCGGAATTGATGAACCGAGTCGTTCAAAGACGCCGTCGACTCTCTCAAGCTGACCATAGGTGGTAGTTGAGTCAGCTCTATAGAACTGACCCTTTCCGCAATAAGAATACTCACCTAGATGCTGATGAGTCCATGAATGAATCATGATCGTCGTCGTCATCAAAACCAACCACAACCATAGTATCCTAAGAGAATGTCAGCTTGTCGCGCTAGCAGCAGCTGCAACTGTCCGACGAAGAGCGGGGCAGCACCCACAACATCCATGTCCTCTTCGGCTGCCATCGTGGCGGTGAGGTCGTCTGATTGGCTCTAATCTTGGGTTCGTCGCCAATTGAAACGGCCCGAGTGATATCTTCCAGATGGCACCTTGGACGATCGATTCTTCTCTTTGCACATCCACGACCAGGAAATGGCGTGTTGCTCGGAGAAACACAGACGAGAGGGAAGAGGGAAGTGGGTGAGTGGCCGTTTTGAGGAAACGGGTGGGACTCAACCAAGCTGCCACCTGAGCCTCCAAAGGAAGCAAACAACCAACGACCGCCCATGTTTTCAGCCTGTTCCTCCCTGACAAGCGCTGGTTTAATTGGCTAATTGACTGTGACGAGAAACGCTCTCCCAGTTCTGACCAATCAAAAGTCGGTTCAACAGGGGTAGTGTGGACTCTGACTTCCAAAGAGCAACCAACACACCAACAGAACTCAGGTGGGTGGTTGGTGAATCGTCCCTGTCGCTGAATCTTGGCTGCTGTTGGTGTTCGTAAATTTCAACTTTGGCTTCCACCCAATCTGCTCATGCAAGTCTCTAAGACGGTACCTCGATATCTACTTCACTTATCCTACCAAAAATTGATGAAAGCTCCGAAGCGTCATTCTTAAAGCAGTGGACATTTACTTTGCGAACCAACAACTGTGGAGCTCGCCTGCATTGGCGAGACGATAACGTACGTTGGATGCTGCTAAAGAGCGGCGCGGGGCCGTCATCAGATCCGAGGCCATCCAACGAGCGAGTAGACGTTTTGTCGAAGCAAACCACACTCGCGACTGGAAGCATGCTGAAAGCGGTGTGCATCGCATTTCGCCTGCAGAAGTGCAGTAAATATGGATACTGCATGCAACATAACCCGTCATTTCTCACACCTTCAGACCGTTGAGTGCAGTCATCATTCTGTTTACTCCGATCTTTCTACCTAAATTCTGCAGCTTAACCGGAGACAGGTACATCAGAGCAGACGTCCTTGTCACTGCTATAACACCTCCAGCCTATATTGTTCGTCCAAAATCTCATAGAGGATCAATCTAAATACTTTCATCCGGCGTAGAAAGATGAAAGCAAATTTTCTCAAAGCATTCGTTACGATGAATGGTTCTACGGTTTTACATGTTACGTCAACAATAGTACTAACAGCAATGATACTGTTTGAGAAACAGACACGTTAGGTCCATTTAACGTAGGCAGGACTGACATTGAAAAACATTTGGAAAAGTTGACTAGGAAAAGCAGTACAATTAATGCTGTTGCGATGGATGAGGAGACTTTGGGGTGTTAGCCAGGGTACACTGCACAGTGTCCCAGTTCCTAAGACAACCGAACTGCCTTCGTTATAACACAACTCATAAATCGCAGTGCGCGTTTTCTACAGTCAGATACTTTTGAAACATTGATCATGGCGTATGGAAAGTTTGGACATCATGGAAAATCGTTCATGGAAAATCGTTCATCTCGATGATGAGCTTTTCTTGCCCAAATTTCGATTCGTTTTTCTAGTGACTCCTTAGCAGTCTGAGCTGATGTACGGCTATTCTTAAAGCTCGTAGTCTGATGAATACTCATCAAAGGATGATGGTCTTGAGGCGAGGAGTTTTTCCAAGCTCCAGATTGTCTAGCTTTGAAGTTAAATATTCACATCTACCTATGTAAGCTTGAATCTGCTTCATCTGAAATGGCCTACCGAGAACAGTAACTCCAGGGGACATATTGGAGTCCTTTACTCTCCAAATTGTAAGCGACGAGTTGACGGGCATGTTGCTTTTCCTAGCAACTTAAGCAATTTGAACGTGGGAGCTATCCACGTTCTGTGGCAAACTCGACTGCAGTTGGAGACTTGGAATACATTCCTCTCCATGCTATTTCTTGCTGTCTACGGGACCGTATCATTAATGAAGTTCAGCTTTAATTATATCCTTCGTAAGGTAACCACTTGTGTTCTCGACCTACGGCCCAGAGAACAGATTTAATGTAAGTTATTGTATTTCAAAAATCTAGTACGGCTCATGCAACAACATCAACACCAGCGTCCTTCAACAACCCAGCCAGCTCCTTCCGTGGCTCACCCTCGAGGAGCGCAAACGGCTTGCGCAGGCCACCAGTCTTCCAACCGCGGAGCTCCATACCAGTCTTCACTGCCGAAGCATAGTTGTGCGATTCCAAGAACTTGCAGATAGGGAAGATCTTCGCCCACAGCTCCCTGCCCTTCCTCAGGTCCGCATCCTCGGCAACAGCCTGCCACAGCTGGCTAGATAACTCAGGAATGATGTTGGTCGCACCCCATACGGAGCCCTTGGCGCCGGCAGCGAGGCCGTAGAAAGTAAGCGTATCCCAGCCGTTGAAGGCGGTGATGCGGGAGTTGGTGGCAGTGCTAAAGATCAGCTCCGTGAGGGCGGGGCCGTTTCCAGAGGTATCCTTCAAGTGTGTGACGCCAACCTCGGACAGGGAGGCAATCTCGGAGGGAGATAGTGTGACACCGCTGGCGGAGGGAATGTTGTAGTAGACGATGGGGAGCTTTGAGGCCTGGTGGATCTCGCTGAGAAGCTCGCGGAGCTGAGCCAGGTTGGGGGCGTCGTAGAAGGGGGGAACGACCATGAGGGCAGTGGCACCGACGGAGGCGGCGTGGACCGCGTGATCGACGGCACGGACGGTGGAGAGGTCGCCAATGCCGGCGACGACGGGCACGCGGCCGGCAGCGGACTTGACGGTCTGTTCAATCAGGATCTTGCGCTCGTCGGCGTCTAGTGCGGTGAACTCGCCGGTGCTGCCTCCGGGAACAAGACCGTGGACACCCTTGGCGATGAGGCGCTGGATATGTTCGTCGAGCAGCTTGGTGTCGATAGACTTCTGGTCGGGGGTGAAAGGGGTGGCGAGGGCCACGAGGACGCCCTTCAGCTCTTGAGGCGCCATACTGGTTCAAGCTTTGGTTCTAAGTTGTGAAAATGATAGCACAAGACGACAATGTGGTTTCAGATGACAGAGTATTGGTTCAGCTTCGGGCTGGGTTGGTCGTAAGGAGAAGGATATAGAAGTGTTCCGGGTTGGAGTGTAGCACTGCGCATATGCCAATGTCATATATTCAGCTGACGAAGTGGGTTATCTAGTACGAACCTTTCACATTGGATGGTTGACAACAGCCTTCGGGATGTCTTGCTCTTTGCAAGAGTCAGCTGCACTAGCTAACGAGCCCCTCCTCAAAGCAGCTGGCCGGCATCGCAATGCGTTTGAACTCGAGCAGACCTGCCTTTCCTGCCGCATTTCCTGCTCGATCAAACTAAGAAATTGGGGTCCGAATGACGATAGAGGAGGGGTAGCTGGAGGCACAAACAGCGACGCGGGGCAAGTGGGTCGCGGGATCGGAGGCGCCTCCGCGATGATTATCTTCGATGATAGCGCGGGGTAAGCCCGGCGGCGATGTGGGTCCCCGTCGCGGAGACCTTCCTCCAGAAACTTGTCATACCAAGATCGCGAACCTTGCCTGCATATGACGCGGAAGAGTGCGAGCAATCCTGATGTGTCTTGACGGCGCAGGATTTTGAATCTGAAAGTCAAAAGTCGCTTTGTAGTGGCTCGTGACCTACAGTGCCATCTCGGAAGCAATTCCAGCCTGTTGTGCAGGTCCCCACTATGTATCTAAGGTCTGGTACGTTGCATGTAAGAACCCTCAGACAAGATCTTTCCGCATGTGTACCATCGCCAAGTAGAGATCAAGAAATGTAAACAAATCATCTGAGTAAATCATTGTATTTATTTCCTTAATCAAATCTGCCCATGTGTTCTTTCCCGGATCGGGAATTTCTTTGCATAACTAAATTGACGTCTTCTCCTGCATGATTTGCACGGTTGAATCTATTCGCAATCAACATCATTGCTGCTTGTTCTAAAACGATGGGATCAGATCAAGAAGTATTTACGGTAAATGTACAATCAGGAATGAATTATGAAGTAGTATCTATGCTAAACTCGCTACACCCAATGTGACCATCGCGCCTAAAGCTTTGCCAGAACTCCACTGCCGTTCAAGTACGCCACATGACCCCTCGAAATCTCCTCAATGGTCCGCGTTCTGTGCGACACGAAAATCAGCATGGCTGCATATCGTAAAAGAGGAATGCACTTACCCTGCAAGCGCCATCGCAATCTTGAGCTCGTACTGAAGAATCTTCAGCGCAAGCTCGCAACCCTCCTGGCCGTTGTAAGCCAGACCCCAAATGGGGATTCTTCCCACGAAGCAGTGAGACGCGCCAAGCGCGAGCGCCTTGAAGATATCGGTTCCGCGTCGGATACCGCCGTCGACGGCGATGGGAATCTTGCCCGCGGCCACAGGTGCGCAAATTCTCAGCGCATCGAGGGTTGCAGGAACGCCGTCGAGCTGTCGGCCACCGTGGTTGGAGATGACAATACCATCGATGCCGTATCGGATGGCCATCGCTACGTCGTCGGGGTTGTACACTGGTGAACGTTCTGATTAGCTTGTGGTATCGGTTGCCATCGCATTGCCGAGTACTCACCACCCTTCAACCAAATCTGGAGGTTTGTGTGCTGCTTCAACCACGGGATCGCGCTATCCCAGTCAAGAGAGGGATCTGAAACAGTCAGCCATGCCGGCCACGATTTCTTTTGGCACTCATCCCTACCGAAGTCATGCTTGGAAACAGCCTGCTCATCCTTGATCGCGCCGCTCAACTCGCTCTTTCCGTCAGATAGGAGATTAGGCCACTCAACGCCATCTGGCAGGGTAAAGTTGTTGCGGTACTCGTTCAAGCGGCGGCCAAGGAGTGGTGTATCGACAGAAAGGAAGATAGCCTTGTATCCGGAAGCTTTGACAAAATGTCAGCACGTCACCGCCTCGCTTCCCACTCATAAAAGTGAGAGGATGTCAACATACCCTCCGCTCTCTTCAGTATTTGGATTGTCGTCTCGCGGTCTCTAAGCACACACAGCTGCATGACATAGGGATTTCCCAGCCCTTGCGCAGCTACGTTTTCCATTGACTCTGTGGCGTATGAGGAAAGGGC